TACTAGAATACTAAACAATACTATTTATACTATTACCAACTATTGTACTAGCTATTAGTAATACATATTCCTCATTGTCACTAGAAACTAAGCTGTGTATAGTACTAGTTGTAGTAGTAGTAATACTCCTGCTACTAGCACTACTAGCACTAGCATGACTAGAAATACTAGTAGTAGTAGTAGTACTAGTACTAGTACTAGTACTACTACTACTACTACTACTACTACTAGTACTACTAGTACTACTAGTACTACTAGTACTACTAGTACTACTAGTACTACTACTACTACTACTACTACTACTAGTACTATGGGGGGTACTACTAGGACTAACTATTAGTATTACATATCCCTATTGTCACTAGAAACCAAGCTGTATATAGTACTAGTTGTACTAGTACTAGTAATACTCCTGCTACTAGCACTGCTAGCACTACTAGCACTAGTAATACTACTACTACTACTACTTGGGGGGGCTCCTAGTAGTACTACTAGGACCTCCTACTTATACCAGTAGTTTSAGTATAAAAATTGYATGKCCMAACTACCCACTGAACCCAACATGTTYATTAGAATGTTAAGATGAATTCTACAAAAAACTAGGTCTTTATTGGATGCTTAGATCCTTTTTTACACCACAATTAAGTTTGCACTGTAGATTGTGCAGTTTCTTACATGCATTTTAACACGTAAGGGACTAAATTTGTACGTAAATGCAAATTTGCATTTTCGTCGCCGCGTAGCATTCTATTACCGATTAACTGGTAGGCGCTTACATAGACGTAAGTACTTATGTACGTACGCTACTCGATACCGATACGTAAGAATACAGCACCGGTGCCTGTGGCGCTGTTGTTTCCTAGAAGGGAGTCGCGTTAGTCGACCGATGGTGTGAAATACTGCATGTATTCTTTTCAATTCGTGATCTTTCGACTGATTTAAAAAAATGAWTWCGAGCAAGTCCGAGATGGCCGTTGATCTGCGACCGTTCACATTCCCTTTCCTCATCTTCGAAAACGATTATCATCGATGATACACCATAATTATTGTAACATCGAAGAGATTGATAACAATACGGACTTTACTTGAAATAACGAAGTATCTTGTAGAGAATGACAGACACTGTTGCATTAAGTGTAAAATGGGGAAAAGAGACTATTGCTCTTGATTTTATCGTGGCTGGTGGGGTAAAGGGTCTCAAGACTGAACTGGAAGAAAAGACCCGCGTGCCTGCGGATAGGATGAAGCTAATGGCTAAGAGCAAAGGTATGTTTTGCCTCATTTTGATTTCACGAATAACCTGCAATGTTTATTAGGATTCATAGTTCTGACAAAAAACCTATTGGCTTTGTAGGATTATGGAAGGGAGTATTGAAAGATGATTTCGACTTTTCCACCATTGATTTCGCCRCGGCCCTTTCGAAAGCCAAAGGTGGCCCACTGAATCTATTGTTGATGGGATCTGCTTCGGAACTCACTGGCCCCAAGACGAAAACGSTATTTTTGGAGGATCTACCACCAGAAGAAGTCGCAAAGGTTGCGGAGCCGTAAGTATAACTACGATTAATTCGTGACTCTCTCGACAACAATGCTCGGAAATGATGGGCATGCTTTATCTTCATCGGATTTGGACTCACACAACGTTTCATTCAAATGTGYAGGTCTGGATTGGAGAACTTGGGCAATACTTGTTATTTGAATTCGGTCGTTCAGTGCTTGCGAGCTGTCCCTCAGTTACGCCGAGGGCTAGAATCTTCAACTACCACKCCTACCTCTGCTCCCACCATGTTTTTGTCTTCACTGCGGGACACGTATACCCAGCTCGACCGAACTGCAACAGCAGTGGCGCCTTCCACATTAGTTCGAGTAACAAAGATGGCATTTCCAGAATTCAACAGAACTGGAGCCAACGGTGCTCCGATGCAACAGGATGCAGAAGAATTTTTCTCGGGGTTGCTAACAATTGCTGCTGGGATACTGAAAGACGATAATCAAATTAAGGCTGCTTTGCCCTTCTCGACCCCCCAAGAACTCAATGGGGCGGACAACCTAATCGATGCTTTGTTTGGTCTCAAGATGGAAGAAACGCTGACYTGTGACGAATTCGATGACAAGGGTGCTTCCGGTGACAAAGACGACAAAATGCAAGATGACGACCAAGTCAAGGAAATAAGCACCTCTGCTATGGTAGAACCACCAGTTAAATCCTATGACTTGCATCGTAAATTGGTGTGCAACATACAAGGTGGATCAGATGGAAACGCCCAAACCAATGTGAGTCACCTGGCCGAAGGTATTGCTCTGTCGTTGAACGGTTCCATTGAGAAACGATCGGCGGTGCTAGGACGTGATGCCGTTTGGACTCGAAAGCAACGAATCGCACGACTCCCGCCCATCTTAACCGTCCAATTCGGAAGGTTTTATTGGAAAGCAACTCCTGATTCTCAGGATCATGCTGGTGTGAAGTGTAAAGTTATGAAGCCTGTGGCGTTCAACAGCATTTTCGACATTTATGACTTTTGTACTGATGAGGTAAAAAAGGAATTGAAAAAATCGCGAGACAAATCTTTGAAAGAAGAGGAAGATCGCATCAATAGAAAACTGAAGGGCGAAGATGTCGATGCTGATACAAAGATGGATGTTGACGAAGCTGGCGAAGACGATGAAGAAGCGGCAGCTCTTAAGGCTGCCCTCGCGATGAGCATGCAGGAAGACGGAGAAAAACCAGCTCCTGTCGGGCCAGGACTGCCTGCTGAATTYCATGGGCACTACGAACTATTTGCAGTTGTYACGCACAAGGGGCGTGATGCCGATGGTGGGCACTATATGGCTTGGGTCAAGGCTGCATCGAATTCTGGAAAGGTTGAGAAAATTGCAGACACCGAGGAAGAAAACGAGGACTGGTTTGTCTTTGATGACGATGAAGTCAGTCCTTGTAAAACAGAAGATGTTTTGAAGCTAAAGGGTGGTGGTGATTGGCACATGAGTTATCTCAATTTCTATCGTGCTAAAAAGTAAACGACGTGATAATACTGAACGTTCAGTGACCATTTGATTTCATCATTTTTATTTAGCCTTACGTATAGAATAGTCGAAGAGGTGGAGCAAGCTTCCTCAGGGGCCCAATGGAAAGTGTACACTATGCGTACGTTTCCTTGATAACCTCGAAGGAAATTAAACAAGGCAAACTTTCCTTTCAGTTCATCTGCGATTCGAAGGCATTTCCATGTCATCGCTGTCGGAAGACTCCCCTGTCGGGACGCCTTCAAATTTACTTTCGTCTTCGACACTTTTGCCATCAAATGACCAAAGCCTTTTCAGTATAAAAAAGTTCGCGATACCTGTCCACAATAATGTGACAACCCAGTTTATCATATGGGGCAGTTCAAAATACTTTGAAAGGACAAAATTGAATATWGTGGATAGCACAATKATAATGGAATAACCAGCATACATTCTCGCTAAACTTCGCCAATACCCTCCCACGTAGTTACCAAAAACTAGATACCGATGACTCGAGTGTCGAAAGATTACGCTGRTCCCGAACGACAAGGCCCAACAAAGACTCCCATCGTGGAGTTGTGAATACAGGGAGATATAGAGGAAAAACTGAATCACATCACAACCAGAACCAGAGATTATGAAGCAAAGGTATCTGGGGGGGCGAATCCCTGCTATTCTAACAACTTCGGCAGCTGGCTGAGTACCGTACACGACTTTTTTCAGCCCAGTGACAAAAAATATCCGATTATCAGAACCACTACGTCTTAGCTTTGGAAGTTTCAGCGACTCGATCCAATTTATTGCGTTTGACAGCAAGGTAGCACCGAGCTGGTCGTTTAGGTAGTCCCCGTCCCATTCGCTGCCRTCCGAGCTAGATTCTTCCGATGGAACTCTTGGCAAATTCCTGTCGTAAAAAGCCTTTTTCCGTAATCCCATTGCTGAAAAGATATTGTGTTGTGACGGAAGAGGGAGTGGCCCGACGTTACGGTGGATCAGGGTGAAAGTTAATGACGATGAAGGTCGCGAAGGGCACCATGAGTACGATTTACGACATSAGTAGTTTCCTATCGTAGCAGGTTTTCTGTTCGCAGTTTCATTGATACTCGTACGTAYGGTACATTACCTGTAGGAGAACGAAAAACGTTACGAAAAAAATTTGAAAATTTCCGACTCTTTCATTCGGGATTGAATTGAATCAGTCACTGAATCATTCGTAAGCATCCCACGATACGTAATACGTACMGTACACACGTCCCATATTTAAGGTACGTACGGTACGTTGGAGTCGAACTTACAGTACCGTACTTTTCCCGTCCCAACGAAATCGTCCTCTTATTGCCAACGTACYGGTAGTACAGTACTTGGAGTAAAATAATCCATCTCGTAGCTTGCAGTACGKATCGTACTGTATGAACAGTAAAATACAAATAAACAGAATGAAATCAATACAGTACGGTACGTCCTGTACTGTAAAAACGATAAAAACGATCATCATGGTGATTCTCAGCAAGTCGTTGAAACTGTTTTCTACGGTACGATACCGTTCCACGTACGGTACCTCCTATGCTAGGCCGCTAACGGTCGAATGGAAATAATAMGAATAATTTTCAAGGTCTTGTTACCGCAACAAACTAATCTTTATCTTCGTGTTTTAGGTCCAGTGGTATCTCCCCCTGTCTTTCACTCTCTTCTTGAATAAATTGAAATTTTGCAAGCATGTCGGCGATGGCAAAGGCACAGAAAGCCAAGGCTGAGGTTTTCATCAAGGAGGCCGAGGCGTTGTTATCGAAAAAGGGGTGGTTCTCGTCTTCGAAGGAACGAAATGCAGAAGAGGCTGCTGAGACCTTCGAGAAGGCGGCAAACGCRTACAAGGTTGGTGGTCTCAACCAGGAAGCAGGAGACGCATATGTCAAAGCTGGCGAAATCTACAGGGATAAATTAAGTAACTTCAACAATGCATCGAAGTCATTCAACAACGCTGGTAAGATATATTTGTTTCGCCCAATAGCACACGACTGGCCAAGTSTATACTTGGTGACCAATTGCAAACTTTTCCGAAAAGCTGACATCGTTTCAATSCATTTTTGCTCCTTTTTCGATAGGGACATGCTACAAAAGGAGCAATCCCGCTGATGCTGTAACTGCGTTTCAGCAAGCTGTCTCGTTGTACACAGACAACGCCCGAATTATGCAGGCAGCCAAATTGATGAAGGAAATTGCAGAACTTTACGAAACCGAAGAAATCGACGAAGAGGACAAATCCCATGTTGTGTTAGCCATAGAAGCGTATGAACAAGCGTCAGAGCTTTTCGCAATGGAAGATTCAAAATCTTCTACGTCTCAATGTCTCAGCAAGATCGCTGAATTGTGTAGCGCTGCTCTAGATCCTCCCGATTTTCGTCGCGCTAGCAAGATGTATGACGATCTAGGACGACGGTGTCTTTCMAGTAATTTGTTGAAATTCAATGCTAAGGGATATTTCTTACAGGCCGTTCTATGTCATTTGGCGAGTGGTGATGATGTTGGTGCAGAACAAGCTGTCGCCAAGTACGAAAGTTTGGACTACACGTTTGCGGACTCTCGCGAGGGGAAATTTGCTCAATCGTTGATCGAATCTGTTCAGGGCTTTGATGTAGAAGAGTTTTCTAATTCTTGCTACGAGTACGATCGAATCTCGAAGCTGAACCCCTGGCAAACTTCGATACTCGTGAAGGTCAAGCGCAACATTGATGACGGCGGAGACGGTGGCGATGACGACTCGGATGTTGATCTCACATAAAAAGTCAACATTAATCGACTAGAAGGGGTGCGCGGAGGTTTCTCACGTACAACAAGATAGGAAATCATTTTTCTTATTATTATTTCTCGGAGATAGATACCTTGTTTAAAAATGCTGTTCCTATTTATTCCAGTTTACTCGTTGTAAGGTTTTGAATATATCACCCGGTCGTCAAATTGTGTGTTTTGCTGTAGATCTGGCGCTGCCTTGTATTTCTGGATTGCTTCTCGAAGTATYCTTTTTTGATCATCTGGAGCAAACGCAGCGTCTACTGTATCCTCCAAAACATTAAAAACGTCGTTCATTTCCCAGCCCATTTTTTTCATGGCGAYTCTCCACTGCCATGTTAACGACGTGTTGAAAACAGCAGGATCGTCCGAATTCAGAGAAAACTTGACTCCATTTTCTTTAAAATTGACCATTGGATGGTCTGTCCACTGTGTCTTGGTCCATGAACCGGTTTCCTGCGCAGCAAGTGGAACGGAAGAAGAGAAGTCATCGAGTGGTTAAAATGTACGTACAGTTGTTGTCAAATCTGACATCCTCTTTCGAACCGGGTTTCGAGTTCGAATTAATTCTAGGTTTCTGCGTAAACTTCAATCATGCACATGCCTACATCCTGGAACTTACCACACTTGAAGTCGGACAGCACTCAAAATGAACATTTTCTGATTTTGCAAGGTCCATGATCTCATATTGCTTTGCTGCGCGGTATCCATGCCCGATGCGTTTTGCTCCATAATGGAGAATGGCAGCTCCAACATTGAGTTCTGATCCGGGAGTCTCACCAGCGTGCAGTGTGACTGACACGCCCAATTCCGTAGCCTTGCGGCACATATCGAGATGGGCATCTCGATACGGCGAATTAGTTGCAAAGTGACTCTCACCCGCAGCAACATCAACGCCCACTACTGCGCAGGGGAAATCTTGTTGAAATTCGTTTGCCATGTCAATCACCTCGGCCGACCACTCTGGTTGAAAATCGATTCCACAAAAGATCTGGTTGACGATGCAAATTTCCTCGTCCGTTGATAGTTTATTGCAACCGAGCCTTAGCCCTTTTGTGATGGCTTGATGGGCCTTCCGAGGATCGTCTGCCAAAAAGTGAGGTGAATATCTCACCTCGGTGTATATGATATTCTGCTCTTTCTGGCGTTTGACGAAATCAAATGCTAGACTCTCTAATAGATCGAAATTATTGTGGACAAGTGGCAAGAAAAATTGAAAGCAAAGAAGCATATCCCCTAAGGTTCGGACATTTTTATTCGGTGATGTCTTTCTCTCCTCGACTGGCCGCGTTTTTCTGTATCGCCGCCTAGACGTGCACAAGTGAGTGAAATCCAGGTCGGTCTTGCAACCAAGCACCTGCTCTCTCAGTTTAAACGGAGGTGCGTTTGGATTCGTCTCCCAAGGAAGTTTTTGCTCTACAGGAATACACTCAATCAAATGTGGGTGACGCTGTAGATGATCCCAAATATCTTTTGGAGAGAATGCACCGTCGAGATGAACATGGAGCTCGACTTTTGGGACAGACTGAAGGAATAATTCTTTTTCCATGTTATCAAACCACGGAATTTCGGTCACCATTTCTTCCAAAGAAGATTCTGAAAAGCTCATTTTTAATTCTTTGCTCCTGGTTTCGCAGTTATTGGAAAATAAGGATTGCGTTGTTTTGGCAGGAGATTTGATCATGGGGGGTTGTTTCGTACGTGCCGTATGGTCCAGTTCTCAGGCGAATGATGTTGTCGTGTGTGTTAAAGCACCTCGTACCTGTTCTCGCACAAGTTTTCACAGTGTCATCAACRCTCGAATTCTCAGTTCCATTTCGAATCTCTGTTCCGATGTCAATTTTCATTCCYGGCACAACTCGACCAGAACGACTGAATAGATTAGGTCTTTTGCGGTGCGCAGCCAGGGGAAGTCGAAAGTTGGGTGTACTGTACGTACCATACTGTACGTTTGTCATTTGTTCAATCTTTCATAGTACTAGCATATCAGGAAACTCATCTCGTGCCACCAACATCTCATTTCCGTAACTTTATATTTTTACAGAAAAAAATCAGGTTCAACCTAGTACATGCTTTACATTAAAAATTTGTTGATACCATGTTTTTAGTACATTTTTCTCCCCCTCAAACTCCCTTATTCCAGAAGGACACCAATTCCAGTCGAATAACGACTATTTTTGTACTTTTTATTCTATTCAACTTCCATGATTGATAGATTGGTTGCGGCCGCTGCCTTGGTTTTTTTTTTGAAGGATGGCGGCGGCCAAAAAACTTACTACGGTGCAAAAACTAGTAGGTTATTGCTAGTAGAATGACTTGTTGTCACAATAATGACTGAATGTTTAAGTTAAAAATGAAATAATTTATTTTGGTAAAGGTAGTACTAATTTATTTGCAAAAATTAATATACCGGGGTTTGTACAAATCTACACTAAAAAAAATATCTTTTTGTTTCCTCGGTAAGTCCAGGGCTGTAAGAATTCTTCAAAGTTAGTGGCTACGTGCACTAAAGATAGAGATAGTGAAGTGCAGTGCACTGTAGCCAATTACTGTGTGTTTCATAACAATTGAAACCGGCCTTGAAAGAGAGCAATAAGTAATAATTTCAAGTTCTAAACTTTGATTTGAAGTCATGAACTTTTGCTCGTACATCATGTACCAGGTTCTACTGAGCTTGTTTTTAAAATGACTGAATGACCAAATCGATTCCCCTCAAAACAAAATAAAATGGTTCGAGGTGATTCAATTATGAATCCTGGCCTTTCAATTATGGATCCTGGCCTTTCAATCATGAATGCCATCCAAAAACTAGCTCAGTAGAACCTTGTAGACTTTCTACCAGGACATTTGAAGTTCATAACTTCAAATTGAAGTTAAGAACTTGAAATTATTACTACTTTTTGCTCTCTTTCGAGGCCGGTTTCAATTGTTACGAAACGCGTAGTAAAGGAACCATGTCGATTTTGATGTTTTTGGAAAAAATTAAATTCTCCAGTCCCCTTTTTTCATTATGTGATCAGTTCTGGTGATCACAAAAAAAATGTGATCAGTAATGATCACAAAATTGATGAATTTCTTGATCACAATTTTTAATGATCAGTTTTGATCACTTTTTTTTTCAACAGATTAGAATTGCCCTCTGCACCCTCAGTTAGTAATTTTTAAAAATATAATAGTTTCCGGTACACCCTGCAAAACAAGGAGAAACAAAGAGAATTTTTCTCTTTGTTTAGACAGGCAATGATATTCTCATTGTTTCTCATTGTTGTAACAAAGAGAAACTAAGAGAATATCACCTCTCCTCTTTTCTCTTTGTTTTGCATTGTTTAAATGAGGAGAAACAAAGAGAATATTGCCTGGGCAATAATGTTCTCATTGTTTCTCTTTGTTCAAGCAGAGTGAATATAATCTGGGCACCATTCTCTGTATTTTTACATGGTGAAAGAATGATGGGGGCAATTCCCGTTCATAGAAGGAGCAACAAAGAGAATATTGCCTGAGCAATATTATCTTTGTTTCTTTATGTTTAAACAAAGAGAATATTGCTTCTCCTCATTTCTCTTTGATTTGCGGATTTTTTAAAAGAGAAAGATAATATTGCTTGGGCAATTCTCTCTTTGTTTAAACATGGAAAAAACCTATGGGAAACCCTGATATTGATTGGCAACTGTTTTCCTTAAATGCTAAAGGAGGGCCCTGTAATATGCAAACAGATTAGTATGAGTACAATACAAACGCCCCATTTTTAGTAATCAGATTCTCCTATCGACAAACCAATGAGAATTACATACTCTATTAGTTAGAAACTTTTGTTTTTTCTCTTCACATATATCATGTGTATAATGCCAGGTGTCTTATTCTCAAGAACATTTCCTGCTTCTAGATTTACCTGTTCTTGGGCACAAACATCAATTTTGAAAAACTCATGAAACAACCAATCATCAGCAATAGACCACCAAGCTGGTGTCACCTCTTCATTTCTTGATCAATACTCAACCAATTGCAGTCACTAGACCAGTGTTCTATTCCTTACTTTAATAGCAAGAGGATATAGAAGTTGCAGATCAATGGCTCCAGGAAATCAGATGGGATGAACAATGGCTTCTTTGAAAAAGCAATGAAGAAGTCTTCAGAGGCTTTGAACATCAAAGCTGTTGCTTTGATTGAACAGTTTGCTTCACAGCAAAAAGATGTTTAGAAGAAGAAGGAAGATACCAAGTCCCTTCCAGTTTGTACTAAACTGACTGCATTTTCCTAGTGGAAGAACAAAAGAAAATTCCTGCATAGAAAAAGAAGCTCTTGGATACTATATGGATGCAAGTGAAGAATATTCCCCCCTCCAACAGCTTCTTCGGCTGATGCTGAAGAGGCTTTGCTGCAGAAACTGAGACAAGATGAGATAACTATCAGGGAGCCTCTGCATGAAAGGGGGGGAGAGATTGAAGAACTAGGCAGTGTCCTTCTTTGCAAGCTTGACTGGTAAAGAAGAAAGGACTGCTTCCAATCTTTCTGTGGAGGTCTTTTTGGAGGGTCTGAAGGGATCAGTTGCTGAAGAATAATCCCCAGTGGTTACTAGTACTTAGATAGGGCTGCAATAAGCACCCAGTAGTAAGCATTTTGTTGTAAAGAAATCTGTTCTTTGAAATGGATTTGTATTAGGTAGTGTTCTTTGCACATGCTGGATTCTTTTTGGTGGATCTGACTTCTCAAAAAGTGAGCAGGAAAAAGTGGGCAAAAACATGCTTGGAAGTTCATTGGTTTGTTTCCTGAGCAGTTTCCTTGAGACATCAAAGTGTCATAAGCAGCAGTTAGATTGCTTGTCCTGGTGGTAATATTGGTAGTGGGTGTTGTCATGCTGGTAGGCTTTGAGGTATGATTAGTATTTAGTACAAAACAAGAGAAGATAATAATAAGTGAGAGTCACTATTGGAAGAATAGAGTTCTTGATGCAGGAAATGCTAGTAAACAGTTCTTGCTGGCAGAAAGAAAATCCTGATGAAGAAAGTAGTTCCAAATGGAAGAACAAAGCTGTTGATGTGGAAAATGATTATCAACACTTCTTGGTGGCAGAAAGAAAATTCTGATGTAGAAAGTAGTTCTGAATTTTAAGATATATCTCTGGCGAGCCCAAGAAGTTAAATACTCACTCTTGAAGCAAGTTGCAGAATATATGGGTGACATTGTAATAAATGATTTTACAAAGTGAGAAGTACTAGATTGATTGCCAATGTTAGTTCCAATTAAACTGCTGACAGTGGTTGGGGGGGGGGGGTGCAGTTACTGTGTGAGTGTTAGTATTGTATTGTGGTCATAGCTTCTTGCCTCTGTGTCTTTTTTTGGGTGTAAGCGAGTTTTTTTTTCACCATTAGTACTCAAGGGGAAAATTTAATTATGGTTCAGAAAAATAGAAGAACAGTACCTGAAAATTCTTTGTGGAATGAGGTGTGAGGAGGTGTGTACCATCTTCAATACGTTAAATACTGACTGCCCTGCAATTTATTAAGTCATTCTGGATGAAACACAAATTGGGTGCCAATGCGCATACCGGTAAGAGGTAGGAAAGGCAAATGCATGGCACAAATCTGGAATATGTTATGGGTACAATAAAAATGTGGTGGTCAAGAGAACAGTGTCATTCAAGACATGGAGAGTGGCAATCAACCACACCCCAGTTGTTGCCACTCCTCTTTTCAGGCAGCATGCATTGAAGGTGACTGTCTCAGCAACCAAGGATTCCAATGCAGCTTCAAATTCCTCATTGCATGCTTCAACCTAGACCTTGATTATTTTCAACACATTATTGATGTATGCACTTGCCACCAGTGGAAGTGGCTGATGGAGTGAATAACTCAGGTGCTTGGTGGTCAGCAAACAGGAGCTCATCAAGTCGGTAGAACATGTATGAGTTGGGTCATGGACACCAAGCCCAGCAAAGCAGGCTAGGAGAGCTAGGCAGTCCTGGAGGGCTACAACTGTCTCCATGGTGTTGCTAAGCAGCTCCCACTAGAAAGTGCTCAGCAAGGGCTTTCTCTGCAGGAGAGACAAAGAAGGCATCAGCTAGGCCGGGGACAACCCATTGGAGGTACATCCACTCAGTCTGGAAGGACTTGATCATAACAGTGTATGCTACCTGTGTGTACTTCCAAACCACTCCAGCGAGGAGTTTTACACCAGCCACCCATTGCTCAATCTGTGGAACCACCTACAAGGCACAGGTGTCAGGCACACCAATAAAGGCCCCCAGATAGCAGTGAGTGCCCTTTGGAGCCCCATCTGAACAATTTATTATTGATAAAAGCTGCCTTCATAGTACCTCTTCTAGTTCACTATGTTAGATATCGTATAGCGTGGGCCAAGCAAAAAAGCACGGTTTCAACTGTACATTAGCAATTCAAGATATACGTAATCAAATATAAGTCAATATTTGTCGTACGCCGTACTCC